GTAGTAGACCAGGAAGGCACCTGATCCTCAATAATAAATTTGTTTTTTGGGTCCTCAATTGTGAAAAGTTTTTTTCCACTGGAAAAATTGCTCATGGAATCTCCCTTTACTTAGGAAGCCATGGAAGCTGAGGAAGAAGCTGAAAGCTTGGGGCTTCTCTTGAGCTGAAGAACTGAGGCTGCAAAGCAAAAGGATAATGAATACTACAATCAATTACAAAAGATCCCTCACCAGGAATCCAGATTTGTTTTGGTGGTAATTTTTTATAGAGGGACCCCTATTTGTTTGAGGGGGGGGGACCCCCCTTTACTAATCAGGATCGAACATTATCAGGTTCAAGTCTTCCTTTCTTGTGTTTGCTCAGCTCCACTCAAAGACTTTGATCTTGTGATTTCCCATATCACTGAAGTAGAGCAGCTGCCTGGCAAACTGAACAATTCTGAGTGACGCTGAGTGCGACAGTGCACAAATCGAGTCATCAGAAAATTGTTCGAAGAACCCCATGTCTTGCACATGATGGTTAGGCCTTGCGTTGTCTAAAGCCATTGGTCCTGGCAAATGTAGTGGTGTACTTGATGGCATCCAATCCTTGAGTCACGATATGTTTGCAAAGGGAGCTGGCCTGGTTCTCTACATTTCAACATCCAAGCTTCCACTAGGAGGAGCTCCAACAATACATCAACCATGCTTGCATCTCGAACGCAGCACCTGCAGATTCTCACGCTTGAAGCCATGACAACCACTTCAAGCGAAAAGCACAGGCTGTACAAACACCAGAAAATGATTTGGCAGTAAGTAGAGAAGTATGGCACTCGCAAATGTCTGCTCTGGCATCATCCAGAGCTGTTTTTCCTTTCTGTCTCTTTGCTGTGCGTCTATCACCAGGGCCAAGACGTGTAGTGCACACTGCCAGGATCAGTGGACCTGGCAAAGCTCTGGAATGTTGCTGAATCGCAGGTTCTGACGAACAAAATTTGCAACAGTGTGAAAACATATTCTACAGACTACAGTATTAATATCTATATAAATATACAATATATATATATTATATCTATAATGTTCCATGGCCTCATGTACACCCATGAATTTGCAGGTCAATGCTTGCTGCGCACAGCTAAGGCAACTAGTATCTTCGCGGTTACCAAGGCACAAAGGGAAGTCACCACTCGGCATTTGATGTAAAGAGCAAAGTCCCACAGTGGCATCGAATGCAAAGGCCACACAGCCAGCGGAAACCTGTTGTATCCACTGCATCGTTGTTTTGGACTTTCGACATGTGCATCAAATTGGTTACGTTTTCTGCACGACTACTTTCTTAACTTCGCTGGAAAACATGCCACAACTCTCTGCCAATGTCTGTGAGCACCGACTTGCCTCGCAAAAGACTGCACAATCTCTGGCACTGTTTTGGCTGTTTGGCGCCGTCAATGGCAAAGGCGATGACAAAGGGTCATAGCCCTGGCAGCGACGCGGCAGCGCAGAGCCGAGCAGCGAAAGACGGCGTGACTCGAGAAACCTCCGGCCTGCGGACATGCTTGTACGTAGGGCGAGGGGGAGGTAGTCTGCGGCCGAGTTGTCAATGTCACCTCAGCAGGGCAGCAACTTGCGAAAAAAAGACACCGCGGCAGTGAGGGTTCCAAACCTCTTTGGTCTATCTGCATCTGTCTCTATCCACCAAGTCACAGTAACAGTTTGGGTGGTGCTGGAGAAGTGTGTTGCAGTGCTGCTCACTCCGGTCCATGTTCGTGTGCTGGTGCTGGTGGCAATGAACGGTGGTGGTCTCGGTGAGCACATGATGCACGGCAAGAAAATCAAAGTCAAAGAAGTTGGAAGGAGCCAAACAAGTTAGAAATCGCTTACCAAATGAGTTTCACACATTGTAGTTGAAGTTGTCAAATAGCACCTCGGCTTCCACTCAACTCTGACCTAGCAATCTACTTGCTGTAGTGATGCGACAGTAAAGGCAAAGATACCAAGGACGCTACTAGGGGCTCCTGGCATCGCTACTAGGAGCAAAGGGCATTGCTACTAGTAACAAGAAGCTATTAGAAATCAATTTAAGTCTAATTAGAATTACAAAACAGTTCAACAAAACGCTGGGGCGCATAGATTCACGGCGGCACTTGCACCAGCGACGCATAGTTGCTGAGGCTTGCCCATACCTAAGCCATTGCTTGAACAGCACACGACAAAGTCAGGACTATCTTATGCTCAGGAGCATCTGATATGTCAAGGTACTGCCCATGTACTTGGAGCATCTCAAACTGAAACTAGCAGCAAACAGGAGGACCATAAAAGATCATAAAAGTAATTGCCAAGAATCTCCATGAACAAAGCATTGCAGGGGATTTCTGCTGGCATTCCGAAGGTGCCTGGAAGCATAAAACCTTTTCAAAAAACAGAGCTGATCCAATGCAGAGGTGCCCATGTTGAGTGTTAATGGCCCAGTGGCCCAAACACCAGCCAAAGTTCCGTGAATCACGATTTGTCTCGAAGGAGGGCATTGCATCATCCCACCAACTCCGGGAGTCTCGCTGGCAAGTCACCTGGAGTCTCACTCCGGCAGTGCTGTTACCCATTCGACCAAGCACGCCGGTGCTGAACGTTAGCATGACGAATGATATGTGATGCGTGACTTACCACGCATGATTGATACACATGTGTTTCCGTTGCTCTGGTACCTGCTTTGTATTCGTTGTTGGTTCCTCTGAGCTTTCCACTCGTTCCTCCCAAAAGACGCTGCTCTGAAACGCTTCAAAGTCGAAGTTGCTTCTCACATCTGGATCGCAGGTGCCCTGACTCAAACTACAAGCGCCAAAAGCATCATGCTGGAAGAAGCTAAACAAACAGTTCGTTTCATCAAGGTTAAACAGTTGATTTAAGCTTTCTCGTATCAGACCTCCCAAATTATGTATCTATTCATCTCCGGTCTCATTCAGCTAAACCTTTTGCGAAACTCAGGATCTCCAGCCTGGTAGCGTGCGCAGGTGCTGTCACAATCTTCGCCCGCTTTGCCCAAGATGTGGTTCCAGCATGGCAACTCAGACCTATTGCAAGCATCTGCCATGTCAAAGCGCACGAGGTCGAAGGAGAACCATCAAACAAAACTAGACAAAAGATTGGATGATCAGTGATCAGTGGCTCTTGTGTGCAAAACAAGCTACAAAGTACTGGTGAAGGTAGATGTGAAACTTGTTGTGGTGGTGGAGGTCAGTGTCGATGGCCTTTGCACAAGCGAGACATTATGAAACAATATATGGCATGAAATGTCCAATCCCAAATACTAAAATGGGAGGGAATAATCAAACGTGTTCGCAAAAATATTCCCACACCGTGAATGGTTTAATGGGTGCGAAACAACAGTTAGTTTTTTGCCCTGTGTTTCTTAGGCTCTGACTTGTCTATTGATCGGTAAAGTATATATCTAAAGGCTCATTCCCCCTCCGTTGTCTCCCTTTTCTTCGCAAGACCAGATTTGTCAAAAACAGAAAACTTTAAAAGGTGAAAATTCCCTCATAGACCTCTCTCGGGTCTAAATATCCTCCCTAGGAATGCCTCCGCCACACCGGAGGAACATTCCTAGCTCGAAGGATAAGGTTTCCACCATGTTTACTCTCCTCCGCCACACCGAAGGAAAATAAACCTCATGGTGGGGTTAAAAAACGATTCGCTCTCTGCGCGAAAACTGCTCTTTTCACTCTGGTTTTCTTGTCTTTGGCTTTCTTCTTAGCCGTTCTTGGGAGGGGTGGGAGGGAAAATGAGCCGGAGCTGCGGGAAGACACCGAATTTGGGGGAAATCTCCTTTACTTACGGGGACGAAACAGCAAAGGCTCATTCCCCCTCCGTTGTCTCCCTTTTCTTCGCAAGACCAGATTTGTCAAAAACAGAAAACTTTAAAAGGTGAAAATTTCCTCATAGACCTCTCTCGGGTCTAAATATCCTCCCTAGGAATGCCTCCGCCACACCGGAGGAACATTCCTAGCTCGAAGGATAAGGTTTCCACCATGTTTACTCTCCTCCGCCACACCGAAGGGAAATAAACCTCATGGTGGGGTTAAAAAACGATTCGCTCTCTGCGCGAAAACTGCTCTTTTCACTCTGGTTTTCTTGTCTTTGGCTTTCTTCTTAGCCGTTCTTCCAACGCCCCCTGCCCTGCCCTTTTTAAGGGCAGGCTCAAGCGACGGAATGACATGTTGTTTTGAATTCAAAAATTGGAGAAGGTAGTGTTTATTCTGACTGGAACGAGGTAACCGCATCTGTGCAAGTGCCGCTAAACCACTGTCAACATAGGTCCGGGCCGTCTTCACGGCTTGCCAGCGACCATAAACTAGGAGCCGATCTAAGGAACCCCAACGTTGAAACCACCATGTATAGCTCCTCCCCTCCGCAAGGAGTATGGTCTAAAAGCGAGCTCAGCGAAACCTAGGGCTTCAGTAGTGGAATTAAACAATTTCCGCCACTGACTGGGCGAGGGACATAACTCTTTTCGGGCAGAAGGGTCCCGGGTCCAAGCACCCTAAGTCACCGAAATTAGTAAATTTACATTTTTATTGGATTTACGTAAATTGATGAATTTAGGTGGCAAAAAGTGTAAATGGGTTAGTAAATGTAAATTTGATTTAGGTACAACCTAAATTTATTTAGGTTGGTCTTCACTAAGGGTTTTTCCTATTTTTCATTACTTTTTGATTTGCAAATATTCAAAACTGCATCTAAAACACATCTTTTGAAGAAAGTAATTTGTAAAACATATAGCCACAAGTAGAGACATTTGGATAAAACCACAAGCACACACACACTCAGGTATAAGCACATAGGAAAGACAAGCGCAAGAAAAATAACTTGGGTATAAGCCTAAGCACCATGAGCTTTCCATCCTTTGTCCTGTCCAGGACTTGGTTCACTATCTTGCGCTGTTCTTCTGTGCGTCCCTTCTTCATGCTCAAGGTCTTCTTCCAAGCCTGCGCAACATAGTCTGGCAGAGAGCCCTCAGACAACAAGGCCTTGAACTTGTTGTCCTTCGACCTGTCCTTCTTGGCCTCATCGCACTAGAAGAAGTCTGCATTGTCCTGCTCCTCCTCCTCCTCCACATTCTCTTGGTTCATCTCCTTCAACTTCTGGTGCTTCCTCCTCCTGATCCTCCTGCAACCCTGCTGCCCAGCCATGAGCTGCTGGCTGCCGGCTTCTTCTTTGGCTGTACGGTTTCTCCACTGGCAGCAGGCCTTTTCAAAGAGCCTGCCTTTGGCTTTGGCTTTGGCTTGCTCTTTCCTTTTGCTTTGGGCGTCTTCCCTTTAGGGCTCTTTGCTTTGGAAGCTGGCCTTTGCTTCACAGGTGTACTGGGCTCTTCAACTACACCATCATCCTTCTCCTCAGGAGTGACTTGGCCCATGGGAATCTCTTCCTCTGCCACGCCAGTGCCAACAAGCTACTGCACCTATCTTTCAAACCTTTCAAAGCTCTTTGAGATCAATCTAGCTGCAAAAGTAAACAACAACCAATAAGCCAGCTGTGCAGTAAACTCTCAACAACTTCAATTTGAACAACATACAATGCTGATCAACTCTTTGTGCAAAAGCATTACCTTCTCAGGTAAAGGATAAACCAACTTCAACTTGAACAACATACAATGCTGATCAACTCTTTGTGCAAAAGCTTTACATTCTCAGGTAAAGGATAACCCAACTTCAAATTGAACAACATACAATGCTGATCAACTCTTTGTGCAAAAGCATTACATTCTCAGGTAAAGGATAAACCCACAAGAATGCTAGATATCTTTTTGCTGACAATATGATGCAGAATATCATAGCTTTTCATAAAATCTGTCAAAAATTTGTATGAATTTTTGATGCACTTCTGATGTACTTTTCAAAAGTGTATACACTTTTAACAAAAGTGTATACACTTTTGATCAAAAGTGTATACACTTTTGAAAAGTACATCAAAAGTACATCAGAAGTGCATCAAAAGTGCATCAAAAGTTCATCAAGAATTCATCAATATTTTCTCTTAAGTTTATAGTTTTGAACTAAATTTCATAAATACATATCAAATACACTTCAACTCACAACAAAACTAAACAAGACTGAGCGCACAATTCCAAGTTGAATGGCATCCTCATGTAAAGTATACTTACACAAAGTCTCAACCACTGAAGTAAAATACACTCAAGTAAAACCATCCTCAAGTAATGTCTGCCATGCTCAAGTAAAGTGTGCTATGCTCAAGTAAAGTCTGCCATGCTCAAGTAAAGTGTGCCATGCTCAAGTGAAATCACATCCTCAAGTAAAAGCTCAACAGGTAAAGTCACACCCTCATGTAAAAGCTTCTCAAGTAAAGTCAGATCTTCTTCATGTAACAGCCTCTACCCCAAAGGCTGCTTGTGTCTTTTTCACTCCAAGGATTCCAGAGATGAACTGCTGTCATCTTGCAGCGTCCTCATCAAGTCCATCATGGCATTGATGCGGTCACGCCTCCTGACAATGGTTTCAAGCCAACATTGACATAACTCTTGTTCATTTGCTGCAGTTAATACAAACTTGAACAATTAATTTTCAACAAACAAACTTGTTTAAAGTTCAGTCCAAGAATCTTGTCAGCTTTGCGCAATTTCCTGGCCCTTTCACTGCTTGTTTCCTTCTTGCTGAGGTGTCTCTTGTTCTTCTTCTTTTTCTTCTTCTCACAGAGCCAAAAGATCTCTCACATAAAACATGCACCCTCACACTGGCAAAAACCATTAGAGAATCAGAGAATGCTCTTCTTCCTAAAGTGAAGAAAAGTACATATCCTCAAGTAAATTTACTCCCTCAAGTAGACACCCTCAAGTAAAAATGTTTTGTTCAAGTTAAGAAGGGTACACATGCTCAAGTAAATGCAATCCCTTCAAGTAAAGGCAAAGTCCACACCTCCTGGCATGCTCAGTCAACAAAAACAAAAATCCATAGCGCAAATATCCTCAAGTACATGTTGTCCTGTAGAAAACCTGCCTCTGTGGAGAAAGCCAACTCACATAAATAGAAACATTTTCTGCTTCAAAATCATGCTCACAAAAATTTACTCATAACCTAAAAAATTTACTAATAACCTAAATTGGATTTACTAATAACCTAAATTGGATTTACTATTAAATTTACGTAAATTTTTACGTAAATTTTCCTTACTAAAACCAAAAATTTACGTAAATTTTATGGTTAGTAAAATTACTAATTTGGGTGACTTAGGGCATAAAGCCACCTAAGGGGTTCTTCGACTGTCAGGGAAACGCTTTCAGCGGCCCCATGCCGCTTTCCACCTTTCGTTAACCCCAAACTGATGACTGCTGGCCCTCTGGCCGTGTGCATGCTCACGTCTGAAGATTTTAAATTCAAAATCTCTCCCGTACGCAGAGTTCCGTAGAACCCCACGAGGAGGGATGTAGCGAACAAAAATTCTTTCTGTGACAGTGCGTGGCCAACCATCATATGAAGTGCCTCCTCAGGCAGTGGTGGGGCCCTGTTGGGCAGCTCATTCATGCTCCAAGCCTTTAAAAGTCTCCAGGTGCCTCTCAGGTGTCCTTTTACATGTGGCTGGGCGTCCTGAAGGGCTGCGACGGTATCGCTTGCCTGAGCGCGTCCAAATCCTTCGCTCCACAAATGCTCGATGTAGTGCTGTAACAGGACATCCAGTCCAGAGTGTGAGGTAGGGACTTCTCGCTGCTCCTCACGCAAGAACGCCCAGAAACCTTCCAAAGCTTTGTTGTATCGTTCACGTGTACGTGGCTGCACGGTGAGGGATTGCAAACTACCCAAGGCTGCTCTCTGACGCTTACGCTCTTCTTTGGTGCCTCCTTCAATCATGACTTTGCCTACTTTCCCCATTTTCGCTTGACTGGGCGCCGGCTGGGAGCATCAGCCGGGTTTTGGGAAGTATGCACATATGCCCAATGGGCTTGACTGCCGGAGGCGAGAAGAAGAGCGTTAATCCTCATGAGCGTCCTTCGTAATTTGCGGCTGCTGGAACGTCCCCTTGCAAGTGAATGCAAGCACACCAATGAATCAACAAGATGTACAAACCGGTTTTGCAGCCACCCTTTCTTGCCAATGCGCCATCGTAGAGTAGTGTATACTGCCCGTAGCTCCAAGCTGTTGATATGTTCATGCTGACCATTCCAGCTCCATCCGCAGATGGTGCGCCATTTCCAGAGGTTTGCAGGAATGCTAGCTCGAAGTCGGTGATAGCGCACAGGATCTTCAGTTTGCGCCTGCAGGAGAACGTCTTCTCCCTTGAGGCTAGCCATGCCTGCCAACTTCCGAACCAGGACAGTTTCACAAGCTTGTACTGGAGCTTTCCTTGGGACACGCATGAAGGGTCGAAGTAAGAAACTTTGAAGCCCTTGGCCACCTCCGGGAGAACACTGCTGTAGTACCTGTTGCAACCCAAGGTGAGGCACCAAACCGAGTATGTGACAAAGTTGACTCAACATCCACGCCACGACGAAGACATTCCAACTGTTTCCAATAAGCGTGAGACGCTCGTCCTGCCAGGCCTGAGTCTTCTGGTGACCTTTCGGGTAGCAAGCTGTTGAATACCCTTTGGGAAACCCCATAATAACCTCCCTTTCCTCACACGACAGGAGGCGAGTGTTCTGACGCTTATCCTGTACCCTGAACTTGAACTGGTATTGGTACGGCGGAAACCTGTAGAGGTCATCTGCCCAATCTGCCAGTTCTTGACTTGTGCGCTGTGACATTCCAGCTGGCTTGCGTCCTGGCTGCGTCCTTGGCCGTGATGTTGTGAGTGTTGGAAAAGGCTCGTCAGAACACTTCGTCCAACCTACTTCTAGGAACTTGTTGATGTCATACTCCCCCTCCAATTTCACCGGTGACTTTCTCCCATCCGGCCCCCCTGGCCGAGGAGATTTGCACGCCGGCGTCTTCTCGAAGTTCCCAGCTGGGCCAAAAAAGACGAGGTCGCCTGCAACCACAAATATCAACCGGGTCAATGAGATAGGGACACGAGCCAACCGACTGGCTCATCAACGCGCGGTCAGAGGCGTCCATGGACGCTACGCTTTCCATAAGTCTGTGAACTTGCGCCCATGGGAAACTTTGCTGGACCAGAACGTGCACCCTTTCGACGTGCGTAAAGAGACAGCTCCGGTGATCCCGAAGAGCTCCTCTCCTGTCCGAGTTGAGATGGTCCGGCTCCAATGATGACCAGGCCTACTTGGGAGAACTTGCAGGCCCAGCTGCGCACCATCTCGGCGTCCACCTTCTCAATGTCGTCCACGAAAACCGACGAGGCAAAGCGACTCTCAACCACTCTTCGTGCTGGGGCGTGCTTTTCAACACTGATATGTCCTGCAACTGGGACTCCTACCGCATCTGCCGCCACCCTAAGGGCCCCCATGCCGTCAAACAACCCAATTGTCAAGACACTTGTGACTTCCGATGGCTCTACCACATCACCCCTGACTGTTTGGTTTGCCGCCATGCATCCCAAGGAGGTGAGCCCATTGCTGGCTGTGATCCCGCCTCCCGTTGATGATGCGTCACTTGCTGTAACCACCCCTGAGAAAGCCGTACGGAAGTCCATCCTTGCTAGAGGTGTGAGCAAGCAGAATCGAGCTATCTCGCTGCGCACCTTCCATGGTATCGTCTGGACCTTCGGGCCCTGCTCGAAGCTGGTGATAAACTCCCATATGGCATTGAGGGTGCCAAGGAGTGGGCGCCTGAACATAGCCATGTAGACAAGGCCACCTGCTACGATCTGAGTCTGCTTCTGTGTGCAGCGTTCGCCCGCCAACAAAAGCAGGCTCAGTTGCACGTACTTCACAATCTTTTCGGCTCGGGGCCTGACGCCCCCCTCCTGGCCATCCACCAGGGCTCCCTGCACTTCCGCTTGCGGTTGACGCTCTACAGCTTTCTTAGGGTGTCTGGGGATTGCCAACTCCTCATACACCTTTCTCAACGACTCGGCCAGAGGAGCCACACTCCCCCGCACAACTTCTGCCATACCACTGTTGACTCGCTCCAGCAAATCAAAATTGTCAAGATAAACTCTGTGCACTGGGTTGCTGATTGGGAGGGGTCGGTCTTTGCGCAGCTCCGATTCCCAACCTCCCCTCAATCCTGAACTCCTGGCCTCCTCTAGCGCTCTTCCCACTACTACCCGATGTATGTGCTGTGCGAGTGATACACTGTTGCAAAAACCCATGGGTAAAACCAAAGAGGTGAGGTAGCAAGCTTCAGCGCGTCCACCACAAAATTTTTGAGGAACCCGTCTAGCAAACGCAAGGTAAGGTGTCCAACTCTTTGGTACCCGGAACAGGTAAAAGAAACAGCGCACATCTTCGCTGCTTACGAGTAGCGTTTCATCGGCCTGAATCTGGAAGGCGTTCATGTGAGGCCAGCTCGGTAAAGTCGAAACGTCGCCTGTGATGGGTCGACAGAGTTTGTTCAATGGCACTAAATTCATAATTAGACGGTGAACCTCGTGACCTTGATGAGTTTCCTCCTTCAATACTCCAAAAAGACCGTTGAGCAATGGTTTGTTGTCAATCTTGTGGACCTGACTTTCGGGGATCACTGTGCAGATCCCCCGGGACAGGAGGCCTTCACACATGGCCTCCCACTGGTCCTCCGGTACCATGACCTTTGGAGGCCTGGTATACACTTGTGCCTCTTTCGGGAGTAGGTATTCCTCGAAATGTCGTACATAATGAAGGCATCCTGAATCGACAACTTGTTCTAGTTCAACAGTACCTACTTCTTGAGGGAGTGCAGGTGCGATGTTTGCCCACGACGTCTGTTGTGCGGTCTTCACCTCTTCCCCTTTGTAGTCAATGCTTCGCACCTTGAGGAACTCTTTCCATGAAAGCTCACCAAAAGGTGGTATCTTCTCCAAAAACCTAGCCACCTCCTCACCCAAAAGAATGAAAACTTTGACATGCAACGGTGAAACTCTTTGTTCGCGAAGGGGTCTACAGTCAGAGACGTCATTTAACCCAAAGGCCACTGCTCGAAGCACAGTCCTAACACTTTGAGGTAAATGGGATAAAAAAGGCTGGTTGATGACGGAGTCGACTGGGAGAGGAAAGATCTCCCCCGGGGTCGTGGTCTTGCGAAGAAAGGTCGACAACTCTCCCACCAGCCCCCCAACGACATCTGAAAACCGCAGGCCCTTCAACTCCTTTTCTGCGGGCTCAACGAGCTCGGTGTGTAGGGTTTTGCAATCCGAGCCGGCACGCTCTTCATGCACTGTACCAGCCAAAATGGCTGCTTCTGAGTGATCATAGTTCGCCTCACCCAGGCATAGATCTGGCATCATGCTGCTTGCACCCTTTGTCCCATCGTTGACCTCATGGTCAATGCGCTGAAGTTCAGCCACAATGTCATCATCTGTCAGTGCCACGAGAGGAGAAATCACTTGTCCTTCTCCCGTTCTCGATCCCTCTTGTCCTTTCCGCCTTTGTCCTTCTTGCCCTTGCCCTTGGTCTCCTCGGCCTTTGCTTTTCCTGATCCCTTGTTGTCGCTCTTCCCTCCTGACCATATGCGCTGGCTGGCCTGTTTGTTCTTCAGCTCTTCCCTCAACTCCCTGTTTGCGGACCGGCTCTCCTCGAGATCGACGAGTTGGGAGGATTCCGCAGGAGTCAACTCCAGCTTCTGGGCCGACGCCCAGGAGGTGCCTCCTCCCAAGGCTTCTACCGACTTGAGTCTTTGAAGCAGTATGTCCAACCCTAGGGCTGCTTGTCCTTCGAGGATGGCGTCTGCCGCCGAACAAATGTTCAAGCTCTCCCTTGCTAGAGGAGGAGAGAGTCGCCCCGCCAATACCTGTCTGTGGTATTGAAGACATATTGCAGGAAGAGCTCCTTCTCGAGGGGCAACTGGTAGCCCTTGCGATGTGAGCAGGTACTTCGACATGTTTTGTATGGTCTGACACGACAGGGCCCCTGGGCCTCGCACTGCTGCTCTCCGAATCTTGTGGGAGTCCTCGAAGAGCTCGTCGACCATGCTCACTGACCTGCTCTCGTCGCTGCTGCTGTGTGAAGCCTCGTCTGACTCCTCCTTCTTTGTCCGCATTGCCTTGCGGGCCTTCTTCATGACTGCTCGCCGAATAGTGGCGTCGGGGTCCAAGCCGGTGTACTGGAACAACTGCTTGAGATCCTTCTTGCCTTCCACCTTCCATGACTTGGACTTTTTCTTCTTTTTCTTTCCTCTCTTCTTCTTTTTCTTTTTCTTCTTCTTTTCTTTGCTGGAGGACGATGAGCTCGAACTGCCTGACGTCTCTGCTCCCTTCGCGGCCTCTTCCGCAGGAGCGCCAACTCCTTTGCCCTTTGCTTCTCTGGCTTTCCGATCTGATTCGGCTGCCAGCTTGCGCAACACTTCGGCTTCGGCCGCTTCCTTCAAGTTGTGGGCCCAACCCGGAGTGTCTACCTCCAGCAACCTCATCCGCTTGACGTGGATCAGGTCCTCGCTTTGTGGACTGTTGGTGCAATCGGCGCCGCAAAGGTGTCCTCGAAGCACGCGATCTTCCTCGGCCGTCAGCCACTTGAGCAGCTGTTCGTCCGGTGTTCCACTGACTCTGAACGACACCTCCATCTGCCCTGCCTTGAGTGCCACGCCAACCAGCTCTACAGCTGCTTCGACAGGCCTGTCCCAATAAAGAGCCTCCACGTTGAGCTTCTTGCCTGGCACCAGGTCGGTCACCGAGACTCCTCCGGCCTCTATCCATGCTCCCGTAGCAAGTTCCTCCCTTGCAGGAGCTGCCAGGTGTTCTGCAGCAGGTCTGACTCTCACTCTCCTGACTTCTCGTCCTCTTGGTAGAGCTGCCGCAGGCCTCCTCTTCGGGGCCATCCAACCCCGGTTCACCAACGCTTCTTGTAGGCCAAGAACTCCTTGAACTCGAGTTGTCGGCCCACTTTCTTCACACCCTTGTTGGTCCACTCAGGTCGGGGTCCGCCATCGGCCGGAGGATAACCTTTCCAACCTCTTCCACGTCCTCTGCCTTTGGAAGGTGGTGGATAGTCGGGGCTTCTGGGCTTTCGCTGGATCGAACGACTCGGTCTCCGTGAAGGTCGAGGTTGAACTTCTGGGTGAGCCGACGAAGACTGGCCTTCCCGGGCCCGTTCCAGCTCCTCTCTTTCGTCCTCTCGACTGTCTCCTCGCTGCCTTCGATCACTCTCCTCTTGCCTTCTTCTCCTCTTCCGTGACCTCGATCGTGTTCTCCGGGATCTCTTCTTGTCTCTGGCACTGTCCGAACGAGGAGAGAGGTCCTCCTCTCTCTCCCTTTCGTTCTCCTCTGTCCTCTCACCTTCTGGCACTGCAGCTTCGCTATCTTCTTTCTCGAACTCCTCAACCTCTTCTTCCTCAACTGGTTCCTTGACCTCAGCTTTCACACCACACGCAGCTTTGGGTGCTGTGGTGCGGAGTGCGGCCTCCTCCGAGTTGAATGCACTGTCCTCACTGACCTCGTGCTTGGGTGGAACCTCTGAACGATCACGTCTCTCCCTTCGGTGACGTGATTCACGGCGCTCTCGATGGGCTTTTTCCTTTTCCTTCTTCGGTGCCTTGGCTGTTTCCCCCTTTGCAGCTGATGCCTTGCTGTCTTCACCTTTCGCGTGGACCGCTTCCTTCTCGACGGCCTCGTTCACCTCCCGTCCAGGCCCTGCCTGAGGAGGCGGTTGCGCAGGAGCAGGTGCCGCTCCCCCCGCGCAGTATGAGTCGCCCCAGTCGCAAAGCTCACCGGCCAGGCAACGAAGACGATCTGCCGCGAACGGCACGTACCCAGGTTTGGGCGAGAAATCTGCAATGTGCCGGCAGATTCTCTTGAGCGTCGAACACACGCCACAACGACACAGTGGGGTGTGCCCCCACATCCAAAAAATGAGCCGGAGCTGCGGGAAGACACCGAATTTGGGGGAAATCTCCTTTACTTACGGGGACGAAACAGCATATAAGTTTGCTTTTCTGTTGTTCTGCTATTGTTGCCCTTTAAGATCCTTGCCTAGCCATTTCTGAGGTTTTGTTTGATTCATGGAACTATGACCTGAAAACCGTTTCAAAATACATGATTAAAAGTCATCGAAATCAATGCTCCGAGCAATTGTTCGAGGGTAGTACACAAGCCCCGGGGAAATGAATAAAAAGAACTGCTTAGTCGGTGGGAATAATATATAGTTGCTAATTTTCACCCACAGTGTATTTTGCGTCCGTCTCGTGTATTGAATCTGACTACTACTACTACTACTACTACTGCTACTACTACTACATTTCTTTACTACTTTACTACTTTACTACTACTACTGCTGCTACTACTACTACTACTACGACTACTACTACTATTTCTACTACACATCTTTACTACTTTACTACTACTACTACCACCACCACCACCACCACCACTACTACTCCTCCTCCTACTCCTACTCCTCCTGCTGCCACTGCGGCTGCTGCTGCTGCTGCTGCTTGACTCTATTCAGTCTCCCTCGATTGTTTGCTAGGCGAGAGGGGACTTGCTATTCAAGATCGAACATTGAGACAATTCATTGTGGTAAAGCAATTTGAACTTTCGCGGACCAAGGGTGTCAAATTGCCAAGTCACTGGCGTCGCTCCATGTCTCCATCTCCTGCTGCTCCAGCACCTAGCACCCGCCTCACATCCACCGCACGGCATCCACCTCGACAAATGCATGTTCAATTGGTTTGGAGTCCTTCCTTGTGTAGTAACAAGTGCCACGCTAGTAGTAACAGGTGCCTTACTAGTAGTAACAAAGTTCGCTATTAGAATTAAAAAAATTCAAATTAGAATTGTTCAACTGTATCAGCAGATTACCAATGAGGCGCTTCCGTAGCAACTAACCTCGAGAATAAATACACACGTCCAGCCTGTGTAGTGCTCTGCATCACGGTCACATATCTGGGGGGCGAGCGCTCTGGCATGGGGAATATATAAAACAAAATTCAACATATGTTTTATTACAGAAAATAAAGAAAGGAAGGAATAAGGAAGAAAGCAAAAAGAAAGGAAGGAAGCAAAAAGAGGTCCAAAGACAAGAAACGTACAAAGGAAGAAAGTGCACTTGTTCGAGGAGTATAGTATGGCAAGTGTTTGCAAGGGGCAATTGAGGCCCTTGTAAGAAGAGTAAACAACTTTGTTTCTCGTCTCGAAGAGGATTTCCGCCGAGATGCAAACTCCAAAGCAAAAATGCTGTGCCTTTGCAGGGTGCAAATCTAACATCTTTTAAGGGCCAAAATTCTCAAGCATTAGCGCATAGTCAAGGATGGATTTGCATTGCTAGCAAAATGTATAGCTGAGAGTTCAGAGAACGGCCTACAAGGGCAGTCGTCTTGAACAGCTTAGTCACGAGGCATGGTCGGAGACGAACAATGTACCGTTCTCTGCAAGGAGTAGATCTTTCGGATCCAAAATCAAGTGTTTTGTGCCTCAGTTGTGGATTCAACACTCAAAGCCGTGCAGCGGAATATTTCCTTGGCGTTCCTTGGGATCTAAAGGTGCTGCAGGGAAAGTACACTTCTGTGTTCTTGACCGTTTCCCTAAAAATCTAAGAACCAAATCATTAGTGCAAGCGCTTCTTCAAAGAAGCTGCCCCCCGCCGCCCTAAAGGCGGCGGGGGGAGCAATAAGCGAAGCCAAGCAACCCTGAATCACCCGGACACGCCGTGGCACCACAGAGCGATCTAAATGCAGCATGCTTTGAGAATGTTCGTCTGACACGATGGCAAAGCCTCCAAAAACAGCAAACAACATGTTCCCTGCAATGTTCATCGATGAGACTTTGACTTGCGACATGAGCTGAGAGACTTCCATCTGGAGCAACAGCAAGTCCAACTGGTGAAGTTGTGACCAAATCCTTTGCACAACTTCAAGACAAATAAGCAGTAGCAAGAAACTACTAGCAACATGGGCATTACTACTAGTGTTACTAGTATATAGTAACTTACTACTAGTAACTTACACTACTAACTTTCTAGTAACAAATACACGGTTGAAATCGTTTGGATCTGCACCTCACAGCTTCTCCAGTCTGTCCTTGGGTGGCCCCGAAGAGGTCATATTGGGATCCGGAAGAAAGGCATACTCGGCTTGATATCCTGAACCTCATGGTGAACAAAAACAAAATAATTGTCTAAAACGAGTGAGAAAAAGCTGCCAGAAGTCCCACTTCGAGCTCTATCTGTTGAATGCCTTTCCGCCGCTCTGTAGCAGGCCTGTCGCGGTCACCATCAATGGGCCTGCCACACTGTCAACCTTGGAAGGTTTTTTCACCTCTCCTCCAGAAAAGGAAAGGAACAAGAAAGATCTGGCCAGAGGAAAACATGAATAAAGTCAAGCTAGAAGCATCGCTACTAGTAAGAAGGGTATTACTACTAGCAAGAAGCTAGTAGTAACAAGTGCCACGCTTCTAGCAACAAGTGCCTTACTGGTAGTAACAAGGACGCTAGTAGCAAGAAGCAAAAAGAAAAGCACAAGAGACAGAAGAAACGCGCCATGGGACTCCGCCTCGACACGACTCTGGAAGCTAGGTCCCTGGCACGACCTGAGTGAGCACTATCCAAGCAGAGCTCAAAAAAAGATCCGTGCAGAAAACACCAGTCCTTGCCTGTTGAATTTCTATTCGTTGTGGGAACACGATTTGACATCATGGGCAATCCTCTGAAGTCAAAGACACCAGTGGATTGATCCAGCATCCGAACACGATGGTTGTTGCGATCAGCAACGAAGATGCGCTCCTTTGCTCGTGCGGATGTGAAAAGCAACGCTTTACCTTGCTCTGGGTTGAAACAACAACAACAAGCACAATTAGGTGACTTCAGTTACCCTAAATGCGCATAAAGACGCCATGCAGACAACATGGTGGTGATTTGTCGATCATTAAAAATCTCCTTTACATTCACACTCTGCCAGCAAAGAAGTATGAATATGAATGAATATTGATCAGCGGGCTCGAATGGACTTCGACGAACACGAGGAAACCCAACAATACAAATAATGAAGATTCATCAATTCCAAGCGGCGGCCAAGCAATTTCTGAACGTTCTTACTTAATACATAAGACCTTTTTTGGGCTCACTTGTCATGTTAAGGTGTTGACAGCTTTGAACACCTTATCATCTGAGCTTCGTCATCTGTGACAAACAGGTTCTGAGGATCGCTGAGCTCAGCTTCGACACCAGGACCACGATCACCCCAAATGCCTTTGACACCATCCTCGTTGCAGTTGCACAAAGCCCCGAGCTTAAGAAAATTTCTAAATTCCAATCTGCTTGTGATACATTACTCTACAGTCTTAAATTCAATCTTAAGATAACCTCCTTTATTTGAAGTGGTCCGTTCAAGAACACAAACTAGCTTTGAGCACTGATTCACAAGTATTTCAAGCATTTCTCCCTTTCAGTGGCCGCTTCAAAGCCTAAGTCCCTGGCCACGTTGATTTCTGTTGTGATGCCTTTGGCGAGACGAATACGTTGGTGTTTTCACTGCACCTAGTCTGCTTTCCTTCTCGCCTCCATTGGGAGTGAGCTCTACCCGTCGCACACGGTGCTGCCCAGTGGAGACATAGGCGACACGTTGAGCCACTGCTAAGCCCGTTGGGCGATAGAAAGTGGAAGTCACGGAAAGACCACCATCACCTCAAATTCAATGAGGAATTGATACGAATTGCATCATGCATCAATCCATAAAATTTTATGGTATTGTTTTAGTTGAAGTGAGAACACAAGCAGCGATCCCATTGCGACTTTATTCATAAACAAATGAGGGAATGATCTCCATCTACACAAATCAAAACCCTAATTCTGCTCATTTGGCCCCCAACCTCCATCGACCCCCACTCCATCGGTACCGGCGACAATGTCGTTGCTGCCTGTGAGCAACCTGATGTCAGGCTGTACATGCATCAGGATCATCAGCCGCATTAGGTTGGAGTTGGAGGCCATTGCTATTAGGTCGGAGGCCATCGCTAGTAGGTTGTAGGCCATAGTTATTAGGTTGGAGGCCATCGCTAGTAGGTTGGAGGCCATCGCTATTAGGTTGGAGGCCATTGCTATTAGGTTGGAGGCCATTGCTATTAGGTTGGAGGCCATTGCTTTTAGGTTGGAGGCCATTGCTATTAGGTTGGAGGCCATTGCTATTAGGTTGGAGGCCATTGCTATTAGGTTGGAGGCCATCGCTATTAGGTTAGAGGCCATCGCTAGTAGGTTGGAGGCCATTGCTATTAGGTTGGAGGCCATTGCTATTGGGTTGAAGGCCATCGCTAATAGGTTGGAGGCCATTGCTATTAGGTTGGAGGCCATGGCTATTAGGTTGGAGGCCATCGCTGTTAGGGTGGATTCCATTGCTATTAGGTTGGAGGCCATTGCTATTAGGTTGGAGGCCATCGCTATTAGGTTGGAGGCCATC